CTCCAGACTATGGACCGGGCCCGCTGGGCGCGCGTACGACCAAGAGGGCCGGCGCTCCGTGGGGCCCGACGGCGACGGTGAGCCGCGCTTTCAAGCCAGGCGCTGTGGGCGACCAGACCCAGTCGGCTGCAGGAGGCGTCATGGGCACGCAGGCGCAGCGGAACCGATCGAGCGTTTTTGACGTGCCCTCGAAGGACTGGCAGACAGCAAGCATGCGCGGCATGGACGCCATGGTCAAGTACCGCGAGGAGGAGCGCCGCAAGGCCATGGAGGGCGCGCGGTTCGGCGGCGCCGCAGCCGACGCACAGGGCCAGGAGGGCATTATGACGCTCGTCACCGTGCTCGCCGTCGGCGTCAAGCGCAAACTGCTCCTCTTCCGTTGGGTCGATGGCGAATTCTGGGATACAAGAGAAGTGGCGCTGCAGCATACACCACGAAGCCTGGCGTTCGTCACGCCCACGCGCCTCTTCATGGGCTACAACGCGACAGAGTACGGCACCATCGCCATCCCGCTCGCGGCCGAGTCGACTGTAGCGTACACGCACCCGTCCTCGGCGTACGGCAGCGCAGAAGCGAGCCTCCGCCGCGGCGCACACGTCCAGCCACCCACCAACTCGACTGCCGGTCCGCTCGTCGACCTCACCGCGCCCAACCCGTCGTGCTGGCACGTGGACGACTTTGACCTCGCCAACACCAACGTCGCAGCCGACGCGGGTCAGACCGGCAGCAGCACAAGCGCGTCGACGGGCATCTCGATCGCCGCGGGCGCGGGCGCTGGATTCGGCGCTGCACTTGGCGGGCTCGGCGGATACATGGGCTTGGCGGGCAAAGGCCGCATGGCGGTCCTCCACGTCGACGGCGGCGAGGTGCTGTTCGTGCGCGACGGCGCGGGCATCTTTCTCGGCGCCGACGGCCGACCAACACGGCGCGAGGGCGTCGAGTGGAGTGCCACGCCGCAGGAGCTGGCGTTTGCCAAGCCGTACGTGTTTGCCGTCCTGCCAAGCGGCTCGGTGCCGTCGCTCAAGAACAGCTCGCTGCCCAATGCTCACCATCCCGTGCTTCAGATCCGCTCGGTTGGCACGCTGTTCGCCGTGCAGACACTGTGCTTCCCGCCGGCAGCCGCGTCCGGCGCGCAAAAGCCGGCGTCGAGTGCGTCGTCGCCCCCGCAGGTGCGGCTGCTCACGCCTTCGAGCGGCAACAAGCCACCAGTGTACGTCGTTGTTACGCCAACAGACCGCACCACGCTCGAGCGCGAGGGTAGCACCGTGTGGCAGCTCGAGATGCACGGATGGGGCCAGCAGATCAACGAGCTCGTGGAGCAGGGCGAGTTCGAGGAGGCGCTTGGCCTGCTCGACAGCGTCGACAATGTGATTCTCGAGGACAAGGATGAGCGCAGGGCGCACGTGCAGTCGCTCTTTGCGCTGGCGCTGTTCGCCGACGAGCGCTTCGACGAGGCCATCGAGATGTTTATGGAGCTCGACACCAACCCGGCCAAGGTCATCGCGCTGCATCCGGCGGCGGTAGCGGGCGAGCTGAGTCGCAGTAGGGACGAGTGGTTCCCCATCTTTGGCGGCAAGATGCCCGCCAGGCTGCGTGGCGACGAGGCATCGGTAGGCAGCCCTGCGGGCGGTCCGGGCTCGCTACCGTCGCAGACGCAGTCGCTGGCCACGTCGGCTACCAACGCGGCGAGGAGCCGACTAGGCGCATTCCTACCGACACGGCGGCCGCAAAGCATTGTCGGCGAGCCGCACGCATCAAGCAGTCTTAGTTCGAGCCCGTCGCAAGCAGGTTCGAGTAAGCCAAAACCGACGCGCACGGCGACAGGCGCGAACACAGCTTCATCGATAGCAACGGCCAAGGCGGAGGCGGACCAGCATGCTGAGGCGGCGTCGATTCGCTCTGTCCGAACGACGAAAGACGCACCCGAGATGAAGGCGACCGGCTCGACAGCGAGTCGAGACAGCAGAGGCACCGCAGCAACGACGACCACCACAACAGCTACGGCTGCCGCGAGCGATGCGTCGTGGCGCAAGGCGCTGGATGCGCTGGGCAAGTTCCTGGCGGATCGACGCCGCATCTTCAAGCCGATCCTGGAGGCGAGCCCGCAGCACGAGAGCAAGGACCACATGGCCATGTCGCAGATCAAGCGCGACACCAACTGGCTGCTGTCGCTGCCGAACAAGCCGTTCGGCGAGATGGACAAGGACGAGCTGATCGCGGTTGCGCAGACGGTGGACACGGCGCTGTTCAAGGTGTTTCTGCAGACCAAGCCGGCGCTGATCGGCCCGCTGTGCCGCATCGAGAACTGGTGCGAGGTGGAGCAGGTGGAGGAGCTGCTCAAGGAGCGCAGCAAGTATTCGGAGCTCATCGCGCTGTACGGCGGCAAGGAGATGCACAGCAAGGCGCTCGGCCTGCTCAAGCAGTTCGCCGAGGACGAGGAGGACATCGAGGAGAAACTGCGACCGACCATTCAATATTTGCAGAATCTAGGGCCCGAGTTCATCGAGCTCATCGTCGAATCGTCGCACTGGCTGCTCGAGGTGGATGCGGAGCTGGGCATCGAGGTCTTTACGGCGGATACGGGCAAGGTGGGCTCGTGGCCGCGCCTCGAGATTGTCGACGACCTGAACAAGTTCGACAAGCGGCTGTGCGCGGTATACCTCGAGTACATCATCGACCATGTGGGCGAGGCGGATCCGGAACTGCACGATAAGCTCATTAAGCTCTACCTCCGCCAAGCCGCGCAGCTCCAAGGCAGCGCGGGAGACCGTTCAGGCAGCAGCATCGCAGCTGCGAGCTCGACGAGAGACGAGGGAGAGGGCCAAGACGAGGACGAGCGTGCGGCGGTGATGCAGAAGCTGCTGCGGTTCCTGCGCACATCGACGCAGTACCGACCGGAGCAGATCCTGGTGCGGCTGCCCGCTGACGACGACGACCGGGACATGCTCGAGGCACGCGCGCTGCTGCTAGGCAGGATGGGGCAACACGAGGGTGCGCTGAGCATCTACGTGCGCAAGCTCAAGGATACAACGCGCGCCGAGGCATACTGTCGAGATGTTTGGCAGTACCGCGCTGCCATGGCATCGACGCCTAGCGAAGCGCAGCGCCAGTTGGCGCAGGGGAGCCGATCGAACCACCAGCAGAGCCTGCTGG